AATATCAATCATCTTTATCCTACATTACATCAACTTTAATCCAATTTATTCACTCACATATTTTTAACTATCCATCATTTCCATCACCTCTCTCATCTTTTTACATCCCACTAACTTTAATAATTACATTTTGAATGTTATTTAATTACAATCACTCTCATCTCACTCAATCAACTTTATTAAAATAACTCATTTTAATCAATGATCTAATTTTGATCGACTTTAACTGGTTATGACTGCTTACCAATCACTTTCTTAGTTGGTGATGCTCGATTTTTAGTTGCTATGTTCATCCTAAGGCTTCAAATGGATTTCACTCACAACATCATCGTCCTAAGATATTAGATGGTGTACTTCGTATTTCAATATGTCGGCAACTATAGAATGTTTTGTCCTTAGATCTAACATATACTAGTTCGTATTTCTGTCTGTTGGTAATTGTGGAGTTTTTTGTCGTTAGATCAACATTTATTTGTCAAAATACGTGTACGTGCTGATAAAAAATTCAATGGCAAATGAACTGATAATATGGCATGATTGGTATGATGAAATGACTTGAGAATGAAATAATCATATTCTTACTCATTTTTCTTAATCCCATTATTGATCTACTTTTTTTTATAAATGAATGACTATTTCAATTGGAATTGCAAAACTCATCCTGTTTAGTCATTCCGTAGCTAATGCATGGTTTTCCCATTTCTATATTTTCAGGATTTATTTATTTATTTTTAAATAAAACTAAGAAATAACAACAAAAAATAAATGTATACTATATACTATAGATGATGATTAAATTATATTAAATAAAATAATTTTAAAAAATAAATTTAAATAAATAATTAAAAATAATTACATTTTTATTTATTATTTACTTAGATGTATAACTACTTATATAAAAATAAAACTAACAAAAAATGCATTTATAAATCTATTATTATATAAAGAGGTAACCCAATAAATCCTAAAATAGTAGCTAAAAAATGATTAGAATTCCCGCCTAAAAATTTACTAAACATAGTAACTTTTTTAAAAAAATTTAGAAATCCCGCCCAAGCATAATTTGAAATTTTCAGTCAAAAATTTAAATTCAAACGTTTAAATAAAGGATTGCCTGCAGATTTTTTTGGATATATTTAATCTTTATCTTATGTTTCAAATAATCTCTTCATTGTAGTTCAAGTTTAATGTACATTAAATATTTATTATTATTATTATTATTATTATTATTATTATTATTATATAAAGGTTTGATTATTTTTTAAATAGTAAATATTTTCCACCAAAAAAAAAATCTATTTAATATTTTGAATAATTAATTTAACAATTTATAGTATATTTCAAATAATCACTTATAAAAATTGCGTCTCATTATTTAAAGAAATAATTAACACATAAAAAGTTTTATTTTTAAGATAATTACTCAAATCATGTGACTTCGGATGATTTACCCAAATATGTCAATTTCGGATGCAATATTAATTATGTGATTTGCTAAAAAAGTCCAACTAAATTGTGTAACTTATTATTTAATAAGTGTTTTATATTTTTCGTGTAATTCTTTTATGGAATGTATTATTTTTTCTGTTACCATATGAAATGTATTTTTAATATAGAATAATTACGCAAATTGTGTAAATCCAACTGGTTTATTCATTTTGCAAATAATTACTATAATTATAGAAATATTGACAACAATAATCAATTATGCAATTTAAAAAAAAAAATTGTTAATTTACTTAATAAATGTTATTCATTTTTTGTGTATTTAATTATTCAACTTGTGGATAATTAATCAAATAATATAAAATGTACATTTTTAAGATATCCTAATTACACAGGTCATATAGATTTTGTTGATTTATTCAATTATAAATTTTTATAAAATTGTTCCAAGATAATTGTGTTAATTGCAATTTTCTTTCAATTATTTTTTAATAACTATTTTTTGGGTCTTTTTTATTTTTATCTATGAAAAATGTGGCTCTCGATTTTGTTTTCTACGTTGGGAAATTAATTTGTGGTAAAAGTAATTATCATTTTTTGTATTTTATTGATAAAGTATAAAATATAATTCTTTAGTATACTATATATTGATCCAATATACCGGCTTATGGTAAGAAATAGTATCTCAATATTTTTTTTTCCATATTGCTAAGCATTTTACTCGATATTAATGAAAGAAAAATCTGGAGAAGGTCGATACTTCTTTATAAATATATATACCAAATTATTTGGTATATATATTTATTAAATCGACCAATCTAATTAAATTACACAATACTATTCACACAACTTAACAACCACAACGAAAAAAAAAATTGAGATACCCAATCATACCATAACAATCAGTCCATCTCATACAGTAATTGATCAACAAGTAATATACTAATAGGATTTAGTAACATCCCAACTGATCAACAGTAGAATATTTCTAAATTGAATTTCATCCAATCAAAAAAATTATACCGCATTTAAATTAAATGAGAATTTGATTAACAATTAACTAAAAATATAATTGTCAAACAAAGTAAAATTTAATGTATTAAATAAAGTAAACGTTTTACATTACAGAAATCGTGTACTAAAGAATTTGTACAATTTTTAAATTGATTTATTGCAATTTCTTTATACTTTTCATATCAAAAATATGTATGGAATTTAACTAAATTATACTTTGTTTTTCCTTTATAAATTCAGTCATTTTTCGATCATTTGTTGTTATCCTTCATTTGATTTTATTTTTTATATTCTAAGTATTGATTTTATCTTTTATTTAATTCAAGATGAAGTGCGAATTTGGTTTGATCAACAAAGTCACTAGAACTAAGAAACTACATATGAAGTTGTGAATAATTGAAAATAAATTTGCTGTTGAATACAAAAACTACTTGGAAATTTTCTTTCATGATGAGGAGATAAGAATAAATAACTTATTTTGAATTCATTTTTCAATTGTTTTTTTTACTTCATTATTTTTTTTAACTAAACATGTTTTATGTAAATTTGCACAATTTAAATTTTATAGGTAAAATGCATTACATGTATATTTCATATTTTAACTTTATAAATATTATATAATGAGCATATTTAATTTATAAATATTAATTAATATTTTTTGCCCGTGCACCGCACGGGATTCATACTAGTAGTTTAGAAAGATATTACTTTATTTTTATATAATCATATATATATATATATTCATAAATTAAATTATGTTATAATTTATAATAAGTTATAACCGATCGCATATCTTTATAAGAGTTGCATATCTTTATAAGATTTTATGTAACGATATATTTGTATTAGTTAACATTGCTTTAAATAATAAAGCAGGTACCTCTTGGATTGGATGTCTTGGCAATGATTTTTCAAATGCGGAGGCAAGTCACAAATAGAAAATAAGGGTGCTAGACAAAGTCAACTATTTATTCAAAGTCAACTATTTATTATATAATCGTGCAACAATACAACAATATATTTATTAAAAATAATATATCTACAAGAATAATTTTAGTATTATCATAAATAAAAAATAGCATTAATATAAATAATATTTTTTTTATAAAATAGTGATAAATGATAATATAGGATGATAATGTGTTATGTTTATTTTTTCTCCATATCAAACACATCAATAAAAATTTGTTTCATTTATTTCTCATAATCATTTCATTCTTCAACTCATTATATTCTTATCAAATTCCATTCAACTATATTAATCATAGCATCATCCACAGGTGTTGAGCTTGAGTGTTCGTCTATCTTGACAATTTATCCTCTTCCAATTTCTTGGTGTTACTTTTGAAATAATGGTACATTTAGATAAAGATTCACATATTTTAATTCATACTTTGAATTTTATTATTCACATACAGAACTAAAACGATACACCCACATGGTTATATCATTTTACATTCAAACAACATCTTTTTGTAGTTTTTAATTATATTGTTTTATCACTGATGCAGGGCTGATTAATGTTACTTTTGGGCAGCATAGCTAGGCAGATATTTTTATTTACGCAATGTATTTTTTTATATATAAATATATACTTTATATTTAAATGTGGTACTTTAAAAAATATTATAAAACAACGGTATGATATTTCATAATATCGGAACATGGTTTTGTTAAAAAAATTATGTCCACCTAATTGACCTTATAAAAATGCCACCATTATATCCACCGAAATAGAAGAACAAGAATATTAAATTAAAACTATTATTATTATGCTCAAACTCAAAGCCAATAGACAGTGTTTGTTTGTGTTACAACTCACCTTTACAGCTGTAGCTTAGGTGTATAACATTGGCAGCATCTCCACGAAATTGAAATGTTCTAAATCTCATTTTTAATGGCTATTTCATACTGAATTGCTTAATAAAATATAAAAATGTGCTATTCTGTGAATCATTCAAATTATTACAAGATTTAGGGATAGACCCTACCTTATTATTATGCCCAACTACTACCTAATTCTCATCTTTCATCGTGCAAATTTATCATAATTCCCAGGTCACACTATCTATGATTCTCTCTTTTTCTTTTTTTTTTTTTCTTTTTTTTTTTTAACTACAAAAATATTAATAGTTCACCAATCATGATTGGTCGACTGTTGCAGTTATTAGGCATTTGACCGATTTCCTTTTTCGTACGATTTTTCTTGCAGATACAAGCTGGACTTTCGGCCCTCGAGGATGCTTTGGAAGCCGGATTCGAAGATTTTAAGGTTATTAGCTGATAAAGTAGTATTATTTTAAGAAAAAAGAAAGAAGAAGAATAAGAAAAATCAAAAAAAAATGGAGTTAAAAAAAAAAAAATCGAACACTTATTACTTATAATAGTTGACGAAACAAATTTTTGCTCAGCTCCTGCACCGGGTGATGCGGCTGCATCCGCGGCGGTAGGGATTAGCCTGCGCCCCCGGCCGGCAGTTGTAGTACGACGCGCCGCGCCTCGAGCACGGGACGCGGTTCCTCTGCAGTGCACCGTAGCTGATGTACCGCCTGCCGGCTAGGATGCGCCGGGCCGACTCCGAATCTAGCGCGAACTCCTCGTCCTCGTTCTCTAGGCACTCGCCGACGGTCCCCCCGCACCCGGATCTCACCGGAAAAATCAGCCAGCCGGCCGCCGCCTCATGGTCCCCACCGGCCGACGCCTGGGGGAGCAGGAGGGACGCGACCGCGACGAGCGCCAGCAGCATTTTCCAAATCACGGCCATTGATCGGAAGCGGTGAGCTGATCTCGAGATCTGAATTCTTTTGCTCCGGTGAAATAATTATCGGCTTGTGTGTTTGTGAGCTTGTGTATGATTATCTCTCTCTCTCTCTAGAGTCTTCCTCTTTTTGTGGTGTGGGGATGGATGGATGAGAGAGAAAAAGCTAGGTAACAAACAGCTAACAGCAAATGCCAGTGGGGAAAGGGTGACTGACAATCTGTGTGTCTATATATGTGGGATTTGGGAAATAAAAGGGGCTTAGGGTGCATTCAATATATAAATATAAATTTTCCGAATTATTTTGTGAGTCAAAACAAAATTTAAGTATATGCGGTAAATCTAAGTTTGAAAAACTTGTTTATAAGTATAAATTAATTGATAGCTCATAAACTAATTTAGAGCATGTTTATACAAAAAAATATTTTACTCAAAATTTCATTTAACTCAAAATCTAACTCAACTTCAATATCTTTAATATTATCAATATAATTAAATAATATCGTCCAATCATTCTACCCATCACATCTACTTTAATAGACTATTCATACACTCACATAATTTTAACTAATCATCGTTTCTTATCATCTTTCTCATATTTTTATATGAAATCAACTTTAGTTATTTTATTTTAAATATTATTTTACTATAAATCCAAAATTCCACTAACAACTAACCGTACCATCATTTTTCAATTTATCTCTAGTTAACCAAAAAAATCCACTTTGAGCTTATAGCTAATTGCTTATAATTGATGGTTGAAAAATGAGCTAAAATAATAAAAATGTTTTATAAATTAAATAATAATTTAATTGGGAGGATATTTTTAATGGATTTTTGAAAAACTAAGTAAAGAAGCTTATGAAATGTTCTCAAGCTTATATAAAAAATTCATGCTATCAAGTCAAATTTGTTTAAATACGAGGTATTAGAATATAATACCATTTGTGAGTTGTCTCACATCGTTTATGTAGGAAAAATAGAAATAGCTTATAAACCTAGTGAGTTACTCTTCCTTTCACCAATTGGTTTTGAGATAGAACAATTATGCTTCATCTGGGCTTTCCCTGTTATGGTGCGTCCCACGTGCGTGGGACCGCACCTGTTTTCCCCCCGTTTCCTACACAAGGAACTTATAAGCTAATTAAATAATTTATAAGCTAGTTTAAGTTGCTTGCCAAACACCCTTAGCCGGTTTTCCCCTGTTTCTTACACGAAGAACTTATAAGCTAATTAAATAATCTATAAACTAGTTTAAGTTGCTTGCCAAACACCCTCAACCTTGAGTAAAAGTATATAACTATATAATAAAATGTCATATTTTCATCTATATTATTTTTAAATATGTCAATTATTTATTAAAATATGTATATTGTTAGAAAACACAACTATGACTTGTGAGATTTGTACACTTGCAAAATTTGTATTTTGGTTTTGCTCCCCCAATTTGGTTTTTGATTGAGATTGTGAATTGATAAAAATAGCTACACCACTAGTTTATTTTTTTCTATTCACACATTAATGCACTCATGTAAAAATACAATTCTACATGTAAAAAATAATGCTTTCAATCATTATCACTATTTAACTATTTTAATATTATTTTAACTTTCAGTACCATATTTATATTATAATCATATTCACAGGGTATAAATATTCCATCCTTAATCTAATTTTTTTTTTCGACACATTTTTATCTTGAAGAAAAAGAAAATCAATGGCCCCTTGATAATAATGGAGGCAGGGGTTTATGGCGTGACGCGTTTCGGTGGATACTAATGGCACTAGAGTTGGGCTTTTTATTTTATTAATGGCTGTCCACTACTTTTCTTCCACCTTTAGTGCGTGCCTTTTTTATATTTATTTGTTTTGTTTTGAATTTTGGTGAGAGGGTACCCACTACTTGTTCGGAAATTAGATAAAATGGATTTTTTGGGTGAGAAAAAATAAAATAAAAAAAGGAGTGAAAATGACCGTTGAGAACCAACAGTGGAGTTTCCCATGGCCCATGATGCTGCTTTGTAAATTGTAAAAAGCCAAAAGTGAGTTGGAGTCTCGGAGATGGTTTTGGACAACGGAGAAAGACTTGAGCTGTTTTAATCTGGTGGCAAGTATAAGAGCATCCACAATGTTTTGGGTCTCTTGACAAAAAATGACATGCCATGTAAGAAATAGACATAGTCTATAAAAAAATGCTTCCCAATACAATTAAAAGTGGACATGGTCTAGCTTATGTGGCAATAAAAAAAATAGACTAAATCCACACTTGGGTCTATTTTGGACCCAAGTACAAACCCAAACACTAATCATTTATTCCTACTTTAATTTTTCTTTTAATAAAAAAAACATATTAGATCATTTTTATTGGTTGACATATATGCTAGACCTAGTATTTTTATTTTTGCATTGCAAAGTTATTGAAGTTTTTTACTTGAGTTTGTCCACGTCATTTAAGACTCAAGTTCAATTATATGCCACATATACAAAAAGAGACCCAAAGCATTGTGGGTGCTCTAAGTATACATAGCCACATACAATAATAAGATTGATAAAAGGAGTTGTTAACAAAGTACTTGATACAAATATATCGGCTCAAAACAGATTTTTTATTAATCAGAGTTAATTTTAAAAAATGTGCTATGATTAGTTGTTAGTGGAATTTTGAGTTTATATTGAAACCAGTTAACTGTGATTTGATGTTAAAATATGATAGAAATGATGTGAAGTAATGCTTAGTTAAAATTATGTGATTGAATGTATAATGAATTAATGTTGGTGTGATGTGTTATAATGATTGCTTGGAATTATTTAATTATCAATAAGAATTGTTAAGTTAAGTTAAGTTGATTTAAATTTTGAGTATGAATTGAATTTTTTAATAAACAAACACACCATAAGCTATCCTCCAGTGTTCACCAATTCAGAGTATCACGTGTTAAGATTTAGTAATAACTTATAATTATCTATCCACCGTGTTTGGTACACTTATCTTTTGATATATCACTTAGTGATATATTAATTGTTTCTACCGTAGTTACGAAAAGGAGACTGGAAATGAAATTCATCAATACACTGTGGGTACATTAAAATGTTTTCATATCACCTGTCAAGATTTCATGATTTTCAACAAAATACTCACCGTTAGGGCTGCAAATGAGCCGATCCAAACTGAACGTTGGCCTTATAGAGCAGGATTGATTTTTTTTTTTTTTTTTTTTTTTTTTTTTTCTTAGCTGCTTGAGCTCGATTTATGAAGCTCGAGCTCGATAAAAAAAGTACAATTGCTCAAGCTCGACTCGAGCTCGAATCGAAATTAAAATTCTCGAGCTCGGCTCGAAAATAAAAGTAGAAAAATAAAATTACCATTAAACACCTATATATATGGGGCATTTTGGTAATTCAACATATATCTCGAGCCGCTCGACAATGTAAAATATGAGATCGAGCTCGACTCAAGTTCAACTCGAGTTTGGTCAAACTCAAGCTCGAGACGAGCTTTGACTTGAGCTTTCGCGAGCATCTCGGTTCGTTTACATCCTTACTCACCGTATATGGCATACAAATCTCCTATTATATTGGTTGGTAAACACATTATTGGACCTTTTAGCGTCAGGTACCTCTTGTGATGGAGTCGAGATTGCGTTGTATTTTATTGGACAATCATGATAGTTTGTCATCTTTAGTGTAGTTATTTATTTCTTTTATTTTATTGTTATTTAAAGTATTTATTATTCTATGCTTTTTATTTTGTAGGAAAGTTTATGGTAAGTTGGGATTTGTTAGTAGTCCTAAGTTTATAGTAAGTAAGTTTATTATTAGTCTTATTTAATACTCTTATTCTATTGCTTAGAAAATTAGTTGATTTTGATTATTAAGAAAATACGAGAGTTCTGTTTCAATTTTCTCGTTCGTTTACGCTTTTGCTATATCAGTTGGTACTTGGTATTAACAGACCAATGCAGTTCCTACGCCATGCCGCCCAGATGGAAAAATGCTACGGACATCAGACGCGACGTCAGGATCACCGCATTGGGCCACCAGGTCGCAACACTGACCGTGGCGATGGAGGACTTCCGATTGGCTCAGGCCGCCACTGACCAGGACGATCGCACGCTAGACGGAGTACGTGGCGGCCGCAGAGGGGGGTGCGACGATCAGGGTCAACGCGGGGCACCTCGCTCCTGATCGCCTCTGTTGTACGTCGGGGACGAAGATGATGACAACACCATCTCCATGGTCAATGCTTTCGACGGTGCGTTTCCAGCAGGGGATGCTGACCGATTCGCCAAAGATCGGCGTTGAGAGGTAGGATTTCGGACCGACATCTCTGAATTTTCAGAGGCCCTCGAGGATGAGCAAGTGTCGATAAAATATAAGGTTCCGCCTCTTTTTCTGTGATGAGAGATTGACTGCATATGAGGGTCTGCCTCTTTTTTATGATGAGGGGTCTACCGCGTATGAGCTTTCGCCTATTTTTTTATGATGAGGGGTCGACAGAATATGAGGTTTCGCCTCTTTTTGCAGACGAGGTTATCGACACTATGAAGTACTCTGTTGAAAAGGAGAACTTTTTTTTATTGGAAAAGTGGAGGGGATGGTGGTTGACAACTTGGTGAGGATGTCGAGGGCGATGTACGCACAACTTGTGCAACACGAGTTTCAGGCTCTGAGTTGTTTCCCAATCCCGGATAGGAGCAATGTAGAAAGTTTTATGAAGGCATAATTGAGGATGAAGATTACTTGTGGTTTGGAGATGATGTATCAATTGAGAAGAAGAAAGGGGATTGAAAAAAGGTGACATCTGACAATGTTGACCCCCTACGTGTCTTAAGAGAGGTTGGTAATGCTTCGTACAAGCGGCATGACGATACATGTCGTCGGCATATCGAGTTTGATGTAGGCGATTACGTGTGGGTCATATTGACGACGGATAGATTTTCTACACATGATTATACGAAGTTATTGGGTCGTAAAATTGGCCCGATCGAGATTGTGGACCAAGTCAATCCTACTGCCTATCGCCTTCATCTGCAGTCACACATTCAGACTTCGGACGTGTTTAATGTCAAACTCTTGATGCCTTTCCATGGTGATAATTCAGATGGAAACGAGATAGCTTCAAATTTGAATGTGAACTTTTTCATGAGAGGGAGAATGATAGAGACGAGATTGCGTTGGCTTTCCTGGACAAGCATGATTGATTGACATCTTTAGTTTAATTATTTAGTTCTTTTATTTTATTGTTATTTAAGGTATTTAATCATTATAGTCCTTTTATTTTAATGTCAACCCTATATTTAATGTACACGGCAACAAAATATGTTGATTGTCCCGTACATCTCATACATGCTAAACATCTATTATTTACTTACTTTTTTAAATTACAATTTATTTTAATTAATAAAAATTGAATTTAACTTCAAGATCATGTACAAAATATAAAAATAATTAAAAAAATAAGGGTTACTAAATTAAAAGCATGTCAGAATTGAAGATCCGATCATTTTGCCGCCAGTCGGCGCCGCTGGCCACCATTGTCAACCAACGTTCGTCGCATGCCTATTAATGATAGATTTTAACAAATAACTTATCATTTTAAAGTTTTCGATGCAGTATTTCCAATGGGATATTTAATTTCACCAAACGATACCTCAACTTTGTTAAATCATTGTGATTTTTTTTAAAAAAAAAATCACATAATTGTGAATTAAATTTTCTATGAATGTCACCAAAGATCCAATCGTTGGACTTTTGTGAAACATATAAGTATAGAAAGATCTTTTCATAGAGAATCCAACAGCGCCTCCCGATCATCAATCCGACAGNATTTTCTGCATAATATAAGAATAACTTAACACCTTATAAGTAAAATAAAATGTAGTTAACAATCATAATTTTTTTATATTTTAAGTTCGAAAATTTTAGTAAATAAATAAAATGCATTTTGTATATTATTTAATTTGCTAAAAGGACACATGTCAACATTTAAAATGATACATATTATCATGTATGTAGGAGGTGTGAGCAGTGACGGATTTAGGATTTTTACTTAAGGGGGTCCAATTTTAAATACAAAATAACGAGCTTGTAGTTTAAGTCAAAACGCTCATTTCATATAAAAATGTGTTTACTTATAAACATAAATATCGATATATATATGTAACATCAAGTTTTAAAAAATTTAGAATCTATATCACCGTCAAAATTTTACAAAAATAAACAAAAAATAGAGATTTCATGTATTTATAATTTAATTTCAACATCTATAATTTATAAAAAAATAAGTTTTTTGATTTAAAATTTGATTTAAATTTAACATTTACAACACGTTGCATTGCATTTTTGTTGATTAGAGCTTATCAATCAACCACTTTTTTTAAGAAAAAAATAAATAAAATTAAAAATATGTGATTACACAAAAAAATAAAGTAAACAATAAACATTTAAAAATCTAACAATCCAACTAAATACTCGGTTTTATAAATCACTAAATCGATTTACAATTAAGAGGAAGAGTAAGTCATTATAAATATATTTAAAAATTTATCTAATAATGTAAAATATAAGGATCGTTAATATATGTTTTAATAAATAGCATAAAAACTAAGTTTTAATTATTTATATTAATTTAAATTAAAATATCATAGAAACTAAGTTTTTAATTATTATATTATAAATATTTTTTTGCACTTTCGTCCATATTTTATTATGTTTTCTTTTTTATATACATATATATAATGATATTTAAAAAAAAATGAGGGGGGCATGCCATGTGGATCCGTCTATGGGTGTGAGCCTTCTCACATACCCACTATGGGAATATATGTTAAGATATCATAATCTCTTATCCACATACCATTGTGTGTGCTATATGTCAGATAATTGCTACACTAATTGATGCATATATTAATTCGTACTGTGGTAAGAGAATTGTAATGTAAGTTAATCTTCTCCATGAAATCTATATGGTTACATACTAGATCATGTTAATGTAACTCAATCTTTTCAAGGAAATCTACATTTTGACTATCGAAATGTATAAATAATAAAGTAAATCTAGAAAAGTAAACATATGGTTATATACTAGATCATGTTAATGTAACTCAATCTTCTCAAGGAAATCTACATTTTGACTATCAAAATGTGTAAGTAATAAAGTAAATCTAGAAAAGTAAACATATTGGTTACATACTAGTTCATGTTAATGTAAGTCAATCTTTTCAAAGAAATCTACATTTTAACTACCAAAATGTATAAGTAATAAAGTAAATATAGAAAAGTAAACATTTGTGGAAAAAAATATTAGTTATAAAACTTGAGTTTGACTCAATTTTGACTGAATTTTTTATGGCTAAATATTATTCGGGTTGAATTAAATTGTGTAGAAAAATTCTATGTTCCGAGTAGATACTCGTGGTATATTAATTTTCTCAGAGCTGATTTTTCGATGGGTGAGAAAGAAATGATTAAAATTAGCCATAAATGAGCACGTAAAACGATGGTTGTGGGATTTAAATGGTCAAGAGTTATTCCCACATTGGATTCTTAAATGAGATTAACTCTCTTTATTATAATAAAGAGAGTTGGAAAGGTACAACAACAACACTTCTATGCACCAAGTGTTGGTGTTGGCTTCGGCCACACGCACTCGCGCGCTCGTCGGTCGGCCGACTCGAGGCTTGGTCTCTGGGCCTTGGGCCTTGGTCCTTGGTACTTGGCAATTGGATTGTAGACTGGACTTGGGCGGCCTTGGACGGTCTGGGCCGGTGCAGGGCTTGGGCCTTGGGCCTAACCACTATATATTTTCGATGCAAATTTATTTGCAATTCTGAAGCCCAGGATAAAATCCAAACTGAGTTGGTTTTGGATTCGGGTTTGACCCAACCCGTGTGACATCTTCTTGGTACATTGAACCTGGACGTGGGACCTTTCACTTGTCCACCACCTGACCGTTTCGGGGGCCATCAGGTGGATTGAAGGTGAGTTAATCACCTGAATGTTTTGGCCATTTATCAGTGGATTGAAGGTGGCTTTTACTAGTTGGGTTGTTACAAGCTGAACACCAAAGGTCTCTCACTTGTGCTCAAAGTCCTATAAATAAGACATAGAGTTGTAGAGAAGACAATGATCATCTCAGTGCATTCGAAACTCTCTCAAAGCCTCACGCATCATATTGAAACACAAGTGTTCAGTTCTCGACTTCATTCTTGTTCGTCTGAGCTCTGAAGTTGGTGTGCTACATCTTTAGAGCAGCTAGCCGTTGTATCTTTGGGGACAAGACGCACCAACCCGTTAGCATTACATGGGGCTTATTTGTCATGCAGAAAGAGTTACCTCACCTCAGCTCCATCTTTCCGCATTCGAGTTGTATTTTACGTTTTCTGTTTTATAGTTTCAATTGTAAGAACTGAAAATATTATTTTCAGTTCATAGGTTCCCTTTGTATTTCGATACCACATTTGTAACAACATTTTGAAAACTACACTTTGGCTATCAAATTATACAAGAAAAAAACGGCAAAAAAAAGTATACAGACAATGAAAATACACATCTGAAAAGTTGGATGAGATATAAAATTTTGTATGTTTCTCCAAATATCAATTTAGTAGGTCAATAGTAGAAGTTATGCAGTCAGATTTGGATTTTCAAAATACAAATTTATCTTAAATGCTGCTTGGAACTTTCTACCTAAACTTTAATGCATTTCATCTAGATGTGGCAAAACCCCGGTCCGAGGCCGGAGTTTACAAGGCCCTGAATCGGCCTATAAACATATGCACGGGTCGGTTCATTGAACCAGCGAATCCAGATTGGTTATTATCTAAATAAGATTGGGGGTTAAAAAAATGGACTATGACTTAGTTGACATATCATAAGTTAAAATATCAATTAAGTTAAAGATTTTTTTTTTTGGTTGAAAAATGATATTTTAACTTATTATGTCAATTAAGTTGCATATGTATTCTTACCTTGGGAATCAAAGTCTTAATTCTCTTACTTTACTCGGTATAGTAATCGTAGTCATAGGTTTTGTAGTCCTCTTCATTTCCGGCGGTTCCACTAACACTAGCAGTATTAGTAAAATCAGATGTCTCTTCTTCTTATTGATCCTCTTCGGCAGTTAGCATGGTCGTTTGTACCCTCATTTCGGCCTTTTTACAGTCACTCAACATCATTTGAGCCTCCAAGTGTTGTGGCGTCAACCTCGACCGTCGTACGTCAAGTGTATATCCTTCATCACTGAATGCTTGTTCAACTGTCACTGTTGAGGCCGGGACAACAAAAAATCAAACATAGAATAAGATAAATGGTACACATATTTGACCACCAATCAAGACGTTGAATTTTGGTGGTTCAACTGGTTCATGAGCAACCATAAGTATCAAATTCGCCGTGAGGTAGTAATCGTGCTCACTCTGTTCAGTCCCCTTTGCCATTTGGATTTTTGCATTATTGTCGGGATTAAAATTATCGTCCGACCAAATGACGTTGGATTTTTTCTGAGTCCGATTGTTGTTTCCCTAAACAATTCATACAATAAAATTTTTGCTTGTTCGACACGCTGTCGTGTGTTAGGTCTTACACTAATAGCAGGACATCAGTGGGAAAGTGAGAACCGATACATAGTATCATAATATCTATGAAGGTGGTTAAGCATGTCGTTTTCACGTAATGGCGGATCTAATAAAGATGCAACTAAAATGTATCGGAAATTAAAAAATTATATTTTAACTATTTTCTGAACAGATCTCTTGTAAGTTCGCCGTATTTGTCAGGATCACTTGCTAAAATAACTTTGAAACCTACATTACAGTTACACGTTGACTTACAACAAGTTGAGCCGAATGTATCCTTCAGAACTCCATCTCGCAAAGTCACCACCAAGTCTTTGGATTCCAAGGCTTCTAATGAGATGAGATTTTTCTTTAAACTTGGGACGTATAGAACATCCGTTAAAACTCTGGTGGATTCATTGTGATTTTTAACACGGATAGAACCTATCTCGGTTGTCTTACAGGCATTATCATTACTCATATAAACAGCCTCTACCATTGATTTCCTAAGAATTGAAGAACCATTCACTCATGGGAGAGATATGATGGGTGCATCATGAATTCAAAATCCATTCGTCTGGATGAAATGATGAAAGTGAAACAACAAGTGAAAATTCTGAGTCTTCACTTCTATCGTCGATAACATATGCATCTTGATGAGATATTTCTTTCTTTTTCAACTTTAGATAGTCTTTCTTCCAGTCGTCCTTCTCATTGCAGAAAACACACTCGTCTTTGTCAAGCTTGACATTATAACCAGATCTTCCTCGTCTATTCTTATTTTGGCTCTTAGACTAGCCTTTTGCAACCAACGCTCCATCTTCTGTTGTGACATTGTTCGTCTCTTGTTTGTTGTTCTTCCTCAATTCATAGTTATAAAGAGCAGAACTGACCACTGCAAGAGTTACACAGTTCTTCCAATGAAGCAGAGTAGTCTTCAAGTGCTCAAACTCATTCGGAAGAGATAATAGCAACATCAAAGTCAAATCTTCATCGTTAAATGTTACGTCCATGTTCAACAAATCTGCAACCAACTGATTGAATGAAGTGACGTAGTTAATCATTGATGTGTCATACCGGTACTCATATCGTAACAATCGTTACTTCATGAAGAGTTTATTCTGGTCGTTCTTCTTGAGAAATTTTTCTTTTAAAGCCTTCCATAGGGTGTGAGCAAAGTTATCATTCTTGAACGCGTACTTCTTCTCCCTAAACAAACACAAAAATATTGTTCCACATGCTAAACGGTTAAAATCCTTCCAATCCTTTTCATCAACGTCATCTAGCTTCTCTTCTTCAACGACAATGTCGATGTCTTGGTGAGATAGACAATCTAGCACTTCACCTTGCCACATGCCGAAATGACCGGTCTCATTAAAGATCTCCATTGAGAATTTGACGTTCAGCATCACCATCCTTGTCAGAATGAGTGCAGAGGATGATGTGCCCTTGATCTCCTTGGCCATCTCCTAAGACGAACTTTCGACTCTGCTACCACTTGTTGGGGTATCACAAGCGCATTAGACAAAAATACCCTTACAATAAATAATGACAAGCACTATTACTAACGAAAATAAATCAACACAAATGCAAAATACAAAAAATTGATAATGGAGTTCAACTCATATTGGCTATGCTTCGGGCACCGCCAAATGTGACGTCAAATTCATTAAACTCACCAACAAAATACAACTAGGGTTAAATAACCCAAAAATTAGAAATTTCTTAGTTAAAAATTTTCTTTCAGACATGAGAGAAGAGAATAAGGCGCAATTTTAACACAGAGACAATATATTTATTTATACTAAAAAGATCCTACACATCTCTGACACATATCCAATGTAGGACAAACATTAATCAAAATTTAACACACACCACACACACTCGAGAGTCAACACCATCTATTAGCCCCCTCATTGCTCCATTCAAGGATGAATTTCAAAATTCCCTCTTCCTCTCCAAGAATTACAAGAATATTTCACGAGTATGGAGGAGTTGACTGCACGCACAAATCAGCCTCATCACCTTCATCATCATCCTCATCAGCATCTACCCAGTTGCTCGGATGGCGTTGAGAGACAGCCTGTACACTCGCATCTGCATCTGGGTATAAAAATGAAAAAAATTATAGTTTGACAGATTATAAACCAGAATCAAAGACAATGCACCAGGGAACACATGCATAAATTTGAACAAACCTTGAGGTTGTGCAGCATTATCTGTTTCCATGGGCAGGCAACTGCTGCACAGGGTCAATAAAATTTTAATAGGTAAAAGATCAAATGTGAAAAAGTTAACCACAATGTGTAAGTGAAAACACATTTGAACAAGGCACGAGCAACTTTGTAGATCATGGAGAAAATTTCATCATTAAGCCCATGACACATCTCACATGTTTTCACTCCAAAATTTGCCCCAATAGAGTAATAACAACTTTGAGTAGGTTTTTAAATCTTTCATTTGCTTGCCCATTATTAAGGTGGATATAAGATACTAGAAGCCAGATGGAATCAGGAGGATACTCTCGACAATCGGGCATGACATCGGCATTCGCATCTTTAGAAATGTTCATAGCGCTAATCCTCTGAACCGTGCTCGGCTCGTTGTTATTACAGTTTCTTTCCTCCGGCACTTGCCTATCGACACCATTACCATCTTTGGCAGCACTCCCTGCATGTAGATGGACTCATGAAGCACGTGCATGTTCGAAACTGTCAACATTCTACCATATATATATATATATATATAACCTGAGAGTTCGGACCAAATTCTGGTGTGATCAGATGGATGCTCCAAAGTGTTTCCTTTTGTCCCGTGCTGAGCTGGCGCCTCATCCGTGGCTGCCAATGGAGGTTCAGAAGGATTTCCAACATTGAGTTGTGACACAAGCATGGTAGCGAGCACAAGTGTAGCATCAAAATTTCCAGAGGAGTTGTTGTCCATGCCAAATTTTGGTGCCATCAGGATTGGCCTAGTTTAGTGCAAAAAAAAAAGGATTGGCCTAGTTAACGAGACAGATTGATTTTCATTCTCCATAAAGTAAAATGTAAGACGGTAAATGTGAATGACACCCGTCCAACTTGAGTAGAATTTCACACGGAAGATGTAGAAGCAATATATGCAGTGCAGCATCTTTTATAGTTCATTTTTACAATTTACGTGCCTTCCTAGTGTTGGTGCAATTTTTTACACAACTTGGCACAAACAGAGACATAGCCATAATTGAGCAGTGAAGAAAATGACTTACTCTCCAGCTTTATCAAAATACAAATGTACATCAACTTCACAGCCCTCGCAGTATGAAAGAAATGCCTGAAAAAAAACAGAATCAAACAGAATAAGTATGACACTCTATTTGAGAAAATAAAATTGCAAATTATCACAAAAATACAACACGGCACGCAAAGTAGATATAATTCCATACTTATTGGTGATAGGACACAAAAGGTATGACTGTTTATGCCAGTATTAGAATATACAATCAGCTCAGTTAACAAATATCAAGCAAAACAAGGTGCATGTTGGTAGATAACTAAACCCACCTTAAGCTCTTTGACCCCGAATGTAATATCTACAGGATCACGGGTGTGAGAATAGTGAACAAACTCTTCAGCAGGATCTATCCACAGCTGGGTGTGTAGAGATGTATCATTTTCTGCAATTAAGAGATTGAAGCTTAAACTCAAATACTGATCCCGTTGAGTAAAAAGATCAATGTTGAGTAGATTACCTTTGGTTGGGTCAATGTAGCTTCTAAGTTCAACAGATTTCCCCCCAATTTGATCAACAGCATCAGGTGGCACAACTGATGACTGGGTTGCAATGATAGTGATCTCTTGAAGGCTCGACTGAAAATTAGCAAGTAATCTGTTGAAATCGCGAGGCCTTACTACAAAGCTGCTGGGAAGTTTTCTTCGGTCAAGTGATAGATGTTGTATATCAGGTTCAACATTGCAAGTAATCCAATAAGATTTTTTCATTCCTGTAATTACAAAAGAAAGCTTTAAGAGGCATGACAAATGAGAGCATGGGTCAGATTAAGAGAATCATATGCAAGTAAAGGTAACATTCCAGAGCTTAACCAGTGGAGGACAAACTACATACATGTGCTAATGGTGAAAACCTGAGATGTATGGCACTGAAACTAGACTGTGTTGTCCAGTACATTAGATGTTTCAGCTTATCTTTCTTTTAAGAGATAATCAGGAAAACTACACGTGAGGCTTACAAAACACCCCAGCTAATTTACAAATTACAAAATCAACCCTGATAAATTTGATACTAACATCTGACAATCTTTTTACACCTCTGCATAAGACACTTAATAATTTTGCAATCTGTTAAATTTCAATTTATAGATATCCAACGAATTCTTCCACTAGCGAATAACAGACTTGTATCCTTCACGAATTTGCATCCATCTCCGTAGAAACAAGTCCTCTGAGGCTCTAAAATCTACTATCGACACTGAACAATTCCAATAAAATTCATAAACTTATTTTCATAAAAGATAATAATCCAGTTACTGGCAGTACATCTAGGAAAGAACAAAAAGAGGCATAAGGATTTCAAACCATTGAAACAGTCTAAAGTCCACTGCAACTTTGATGCATCAGAATCAGGAAGTAATCCGCTTAAATGATCAATACTAGCAATTGGGGTTCTCAGAACTGAACAGATGGCCTGCATAGGCAACATTAGCATGGTATTAAGCTATCTAGACACTTTAGAAAATCCTTAAAATGGCAGAAAGTTGCTAATAAAAGTAACCTTCAAAAGCACGCTACATTGCACCTCGGCCCCAGATACTGTATATACATCAAAAAAATCTGGTTTGAAAGTTATGGACTGATAGGCTGACCTTGACGAATTGAGGGTGTGAAGGGAGAACTGTGAATCAAAAGAATAAACAAAGGTGAACTAGATAGAACCACTATCTTTAATCTTTATACAATGAGATTGATCAGATTAAACTTCATAAAATATTCCCGCAACAAATTACACTCGATCCCGATATTATCAAATGGCAGAAAAACAGGACAATTGTGGGCATGCATCTGCCCAGCATCTGGAATCCTATAAGACAATCTGCTAAATACCAATGGAGAAGCCCCAATTCCTCGACATTAAGTTCTGCTACGAGGAAAGATGAATTACTAACCTCTGGTTCAGAGAAGCCCAAAACCCTAATTACATTAAGGAAAACGAATTTGGACTACCAATGAATAAAAATATATGCAGCAAGTCATTCCACACGGCGACGAGAAGTTATCCCTAACAATTAGAAAATTGACTGAGCAACAAGAAGAAGAAAACAGCAGGAACCTGAGAGGGAGAGCACTGAAAAACGAGATCGTTTCCGATGCGAGCGAGACAGGTGATGGAGCGAGCAAAGGTTTTGAGTGCATTTCCACTCAGACTGAACTCCATTTTTTTTTTTTTTTCTGGTTTTTGCTTTTGCTTTCTACTGCTGCTGTAAAGCTTAGACACGAGGGTGGTGTGCCAGTGCGTGGGATAATCTGGCGGGAAGAAAATTGGGGATGGTTTGTAATAGGGCCAGCATTTTTGGACCGAAAACCGAAAATTGAAAATCGAACTGAACCGACGAGAAAAAAAACTGAACCGAACCGACTCACTTAAAACGGTAACCAATTATCGGTTACCGATATGTTATCAGTACGGTATCGATTCTGAAATCATAGAGGTTCGGTTTTACCAAACCGAACCGATAAGTAATTTAAAAAAAAAAAATACTTAATGTTAATAGTTAATAACTTAATACTAATAATTAATAACTTAATATTAATAACTAATAAATAATAACTTATGTTATATAACTTGTGAATGCATAACAAAACAAACAACTTTTGGATATAATTACTAAGCAATATTCAGGGGTTGAAAACCATCATTAGCAATATTCAAGCAATTCAACAGTTGCCGACATTCATTCTGGATATTGGATGTCTTATTCACGGACAAATTTCCTCAGGAAAAGTCGTAGTATGCTCGACTACTTTGCGCATCTGTAGATTAATTTTATGGTTTGTATACTTCTATTAATCACTGTATAAGTACAATAATCAAAATTTGATGAGTATTAATTTCATGCATGCTCATCTCACCCATTAACCAAAAGAAAAAAAAAAAATCGGCCCTCTCATTTATTATTGGTAAATTTCGATTTTTTTGGTAGGAAACCGTTACCAAACCGAGTTATCGGTAACCGGAAATTCGGTTACCGATTACAAACGATTCGGTAACGGTTTCATATTTGTAGTTACGAAATAATCGGTTCGGTATCTGTTTGGCCTTATCGGTTCAGTAACCGAACCGATACCAACCCTAGTATGTAATATGTTGCAATTCGATGTAGAAATTTTTTATTTCCGTTCGTTAAGTTAAATTTTATCAAATAAAGATTCAACAAGTATTATTAATTTTACCTCTACAAATCTCATTAACGTATTTAAAAGATCAAAAATAATAATAATAATAATTATTATTATTATATATATTTCAAATAAAAATACTCTTCATCTACTCATAATTTTCTCGATTTTATCAATTAATATTTTATTATTTTATATTTTATTAACTTTAATCGTTATATCTTTATCTCATATTTATTTAGAATTTCATATTCATATCACTTTTTCTAAAAACATTTTTCTAATTTTTCATTCCACGTTGTTCAAACAAGGCAATTTTTTAAGAAAAAATATGCTTATACCCAATTCGTGCCCAGTATTTAATGGACAAAAAAGAATTATACTATGATGTCAATATTACATTTTATAGAATATTTATAATATCGTGATCTATTATATGTGGAGAACTAGGGAGGACTTGTATCAGGAGTTGGAATAAAATTATTTGTCTTCGAGTTCGACCTTTTAGAATTGGATGTCATTTTAAGTTTTTGGACCCCTCTATATACAGAAGGGAACGTCCTAATATGTTCGAGACGTGTGGCAGCTTATGAGAAGTTAGCGATATGCATGGAGACATGTGTCAGAGCCCCCTACTAGTGCAAGTTGTGTACCTTTTGGACGGTGAGAATCGATTTTGGGTGACAACTCCTTTCACATTAGTGTGGGTTGAGATCGATAAGGAGGAGGTTTTACTTCTGGCAGATGTCAGGGTGATTACTTCGTAGCTTGGAATGAGAACGGCATATAGGAGGGAGGTGTCTTGAGGTCGGCGTCCTTTGTCTTGATCGAAGTGCTCCTTAGTATCTTGGCTTTGGGGATATCATCCATGTTGTGGCTTGATTTGTGGGGCTTAATTCAAGGCGGTAAATTTTTCATATCAACAAATAACGTATTTAAATAAACATCAACATAAATATGAGATTTAATCGTATAAGTATGCATTTTTGTTCAAGTATAAAAAATCTCGTGCTTCTAATGAGTATAAACCAATATGAGCAAGAAATTGTCAGAGTTTTAATAATATGGTTTACACATGATGATTACACGNTCACTTATCTAAAATAAATCCACTCCCATTTATCATGAACTTCGTCCCCCCATCCCCTCCATTTTTTCTGAAAACCCCACAACCTTTATCTCAAGACCTAGCCATCTAAGATTTCGGCCAGCCACCGCCAGTGGCGACAGGCTTCCGAAGGATAGCCTACTCTACCCATCATAGTTTCGAACTATACTCAAGAAAATATCACGTAAATATAATTAAGCAAAGTCGAAATAACTTATGAGATCTTTAACCTTAAACTAAGTCTTCAACTCTCTAGTAGCATCCATGAGAAGAAATAAGCCGGAAGTTGCAATCTTGACGGAGAAGTAAAATAATAAAAATTGGGTCTTTGAGCCCTTAGTCTCTCAAAGGAAAAAATTACAAAAATAGAGAGAAAAACTTTAGCAAAATAAGGAATCTATCATTATATAAAAAGAATAACCTTTTTACAAATTTAGAAACTTTTTCCCGCCAAAATCATTAAATATATCCTAATATAGTAATTGTTGGACAAATCTGAATAGGCAAAAAAAATCGGCTCATTTTTTTTAGTTTATCAAAACCGTTGTTTGACAATAAATATTTGTTTTTCTTTGTCCTATTTTTAGTATAAATCTACACGCTTATCTCTTCTGTTACAAAATCCCATTGCATACAATCTCACGTGTTTAAAAAATCTCATCCCTTATCTATACAGATTTAAAAAAATAAAACAAAATAAAAACCAATTCATAATTACTACTAGAAATCCATTATTTTTAAAAAGAAAAAATAAAATAAAATAGAAACTAATTCATAATTACTACTGAAAATCCATTATCGACTTTAAGAAGCTAATTTTCATCGGTTTAATTACTAATATTTTTACAAATATTATAAGCTAATCGGTCTAATTACTAATATTTTTACAAATATTATAAGCTAACCATACAAAAAAGTATAATAATAATTTTGAAATGGTGTGTAATCAAATTTTTTTATATTCTCTTATACAAAATAATTTTACATTGTTTGACCCCGAATCTATAATTTATTAAGTATTGTTTATCATTCTCTTTAATTTATAATTATTTTTTTTGCTTCCTCTTTTTAAATAGGACAATAGTAGTTTCCACTTCCGTCATTGAGTGACTCAAACTCGAGGTCTATTTATAATATTGTTAATTTACTATTGTTTCTGTGCATCGCACGGGGTATACACTAGTTGTTCTCAAAATACAAAAGACAATTTGTATTTATACTCTAAGTGCCACACGCACATAGTATTAAAATTCAACACTCTCGAGCTGTGGATGGATTGGCCTAGCGGATTGCAACACTCACGAGCTAAGGACGGACTCGCTAGGCGGGCGCTGGCTTTGCGTGGCACTCGCGAATTGTGGGACAACCCCCTTGGCACATGTGAGTGCGCTCTGTGCTGGGCTGCGGGTCTACCAGGTGCTGACTGGGCTGACCGGCTGAGAACTTTTCGACGATTTTTTGTGCGAGCTTCTGACATTTTCTCAGTGCGTTCTGACCTTTTTTTTTGTGATTTTCCAGTGACGTAAAGAATGTTTTTGGGGCGCATTTTTTTTATAAAATAAAGTATAAAAAGTGACATAAAATACCAAAACAAAACAAGAAGGAAAAAAATGATAAAAATCGATTAAATGGACCGAGAAAAACATAAAATAAACTTTAAAAAAGCATAAATAAGCCACTAAAAACACATAAAACAATCACAAAAACGTATAAAACAAACAGGAGAACATTTAATGTTGTTCAAGTACTCAAGTGTTTGCAAATCATGTAAAAAAGTAACATCACCATCCGATTTCGATGTAGAAATGTATGTCCATCTAGCGTATATACAAAGTCATGTACTCATTTACAAACTTAACAATTTCAAGCTGGGGTCAGTATTGCTCGATCCTTCAAATAGCTACGCATTATGCAAAATCATCCCAATCGTATTGCCTTCGCATTTAAGCAACATATCAGAAGGAATATCTACATTAGCTCATCCATCAATTGATTTCATCGCGATCAGTAACATTCTAGAGATGCAGGTCCTTAGTCAGTATTAAAACCTCGTATGTGGTTAAAGAGAAGAAGAGTTTATTGTGACACTGATAGAATCCTGTCTTGTTCTTTAAGGCACAACAAACAAATATCAGTAAAAAATTTCCACCCAAAAACAACAATTTTACCACCAAACGGCTATGTCAGCATTAGATTGCATTAAATTGATTAACTGAAACCAGGAATGGAATATATAAGAGATGAAGATAAAATGTTTGTCTGCTAGAACATACGACTTGTTACTCTAACACTTCATGTGGAAAGCGACTACCGTGTGGAAAGTGACAAACGGAATCCTCTTCATGTATGTAGCTTTCATATACGTTTGGTGGAGAGAGAAAGACGGATTCATGATCTATATACACGCACATATACCTAAAACTTGTACATGACACTCCACCATGAACTACTACAAGGGATCCATTTCCATAATGTAGGATAACATCTGCATAGCCGCATCTATAATACAACGTCGTGATTGATAAGCCTCTACACTACTTCTAGCGAATGTTTGGATTCATTTTAACGATCTAGCTACAATTATAACCAATCGACATGCTCGTTTGAGGCCTTGGCTTTTTCTTTAGGAACTTGGTAACGGTTATTCTCATATTTGGCTTTGACAATAAGACCGTACAACAACTCGGCCTCAGCTGAAGTATCATATGGCACGTTCACGATGCTGCATAAAATTAGAATCAGAAGAAAAGAGATTACTGAGAAAGTCTAGAGTGTTGAAGGTATACATACAGTTACAAAATCAAAAGCCCATAAACCTGTCTAGAAGCTCCTCCAGAATAATTCTCTGTGATGGTGTAACATAATGAATACAGCTTCTTGGACACTGGCCGACTGCAAGGTGAACTTTATAACAACCCATTAAAAAATTCAAAACTTATCAAGAACCTCATTTCCCAGGAGATAAATGAAATAGATTTCATTAGTCCCTGTTCTTTTGCTTGATTTTTCTATTTTGTCCTGTGTTGGTAAAAATCCCATTGCTTTATACTTATCTCACAAAAAGAGAAGACAGAACCAACCTTGAGAAGCAGCACAAGCTCTCCCTGTTTCTGAAGAAAATTTAAATGCATGAGGTGCTGTTCTAACACATGAATATGGACAACCTGCAGATTTTAACAAAAGTGTGAAAGAAGGATATCAGAGTGATTTTACAAGGACAATGAAACTCTCATCTCAAAAATCATTTTAACGCGGTCAAACTTTCGATGGATTGTTATTATCAAACATGGCTTGGAATGTAAAGAGTCGGTACTTTGACCAATGCAAAGACTCCCATTGACGAAGATATCACATGCTTCGCATTCTGGCTGGTCAAATGGATTCATAAATTCTCTACACGTGAAAATAAAAACACTGGTGAATGAAAATGATCCAATAAAGTATGCAAAGACAAAAAAAAAATTACTGATGAGAGCGGCATATAATGAATTATCAGACGAATACTATAAAATTTTCAACAAGTCAATATGATTGTCCAAATTGTAACAAGGTATGTTTCTCCTTAATTTAAAACCAACATATTGAGATAGATGACACTTTACCAAGGGAAAGATGGAAAGTCGAATTATTTGCATAGTCATTGTCACTTCAGAATAAGACACAGATGATGTACATGACGAGTAGCCGGTGCAGACCAAAATTCAAATAGTATTATATCCATGAGAATAATCCATAATATAATCTTAACCCCTCTGTTGGTCTTACTTCACATCAATCATATTGCATCACTTCTATTTAAGTAAAATAGCCCTAACATGAGCACAAACACAGACAACTTTTCTATTTGGTAATTGTGCTAAAATTGCATGTACCACCCCGGAGGTTCATAAATCCAGCAAACAGCCTTTTTAGGTCCACAATCTAACAATGTTACTGACAAACAATAATAATGCCAACAAAAACCATTGTTCAACAAGGAGAAGCACAAGATGACACGTTTACCTCTCAATGATTTCTGATTTGCTATAGTTGGATAATATCTGTCAAACATAGCAAATTACTGCTGGTTAGCCATTATCTAATCAATAAATACAATAGCTGTCTTTCTAGCCTAAGCCTAAACACAATAGTAATATTATGACATCCATTCAATAACAAGTGTTTTTGGTTATCTGTTGGACATTTGCCTGGAGACAATCAACCAGCATGAAATTGCTAAATACAATAAAAATGTGAACTGAAAAGAAACCAAAAAAAAAAAAAAATGGAAAAACTGACATCAAGTAAAACTCATAATATAACTTGAACATTTTTACAGGTAAAGTTCCTAGCAACTCAACACCTCTCCACCTCCTCCAATACAAACTCACCAAAAAAGTTATCGGGTTCCTATAACAACATTGATGATAATAAACAGAGTGTACTTGCAGCGATTAATTTCGTAGAACATCCAGTTCAAGATTCAATTCAAGAATGCATTAAGATACCACAAAAATAAACGGATGCATGCAACATGAACACAAGAGATGAAATGAGATCTTTACGCAGAAAGATATAGACTATACTTACATACTAACACTAATTATAAGATTTTCATCCTGCACAAAAAGCAAAAATTGGTTCGGCGACTTAATTTGACGTGGCAATCATACTTCAACCGTAAATACATACTTTTACCACAGAATGTTTTACATCTTTGAGCTGTAAATTACGTACTTATGTTCATAACATATGTTTGTTTACGACATTTGTACTAGACATATAAACATTTGTACTCGGCATATGCATACAGGTTTTACAAGAAAAACAGCTAAAGCCTAGTACCTCATAGGCTTGAATCACATGCCGAATCATTGTATCCGAACTTTGTTCGCCTCTTGTTACATCAGGATGACACTGCTTCACCTACACATACAAAACACATACACAGAGAGAGAGAGAGAGAGAGAGAGAGATGAAAGAAATAAAAAGGGAAAAAATAGTCAAAATCAATAAAAGAAGTAAAAAAAAAGGCCCGCAATCCTGAACAACCCATGTTGCTCAAAAGTTGATAAAACCCCAAAGAAAACCAACCGGATTACTCCCAGACACAGGATGAAAAAGAAATTACGGACAAAATGGATCTGTTTAGATGATTACTTTAGATCGAAAAGCTGCTTTGAGTTGGGCCGACGAGCACTGAGGATCAAGCCCGAGCACGGCGTACGCCCAAGAAGCAGTGAAGGGTTCAAAATCGCATCCGGAATAATCGCTATTTTCGCCGCCGCCGCCGCCGCCACCGTAATTACAGATCATTCTAAGTGAGGAAGAAGGTGAAGAAGAGGTTGAAGACCTGGATTTTGAAGCATCTATAAATTGGCTATTTATCTTCTTAAATAAGAGCAACGAGGAAGCCGAACTGCACTGGTTATGGCAAAGTGAAATGAGTTTCATTTCTTATTTGCTTGAGAGTGGATAGAGTTGAGAGTCGTATACCACATAGACATGGCAAAGGGCCGCCCGGCCCGCCGACCCGGCACGGATCCGACTCGGTCAAACTCGTTGACCACGGGTCCGGGATCGACCCGGATTTTAGACGGGGACGTGTAAGGGTCATAAATTTCATGACCCGGCCCGGACTCGGGTCAATGATTCTCCTTTTCTATTTTTTTTTTTTTCTATTGCTTTTTTTTAAAAAAGTAATGGACTCGATCCGGACCCAGCCCGGACACAAACTCGGCATGAGTAAAGATCCATGCCAATTCAAGGTCATTATTTTCAAGCCCGTCGACCCGACGGGCCGGGCCGGGTCACGTTTGGCCATGTCTAAATACCACAGATGAAATACTTTAATGTAGAGAAAGTGAAAGAAAAACTTTCTACATGAACAAATGAAATTAATAAAAAAATATTTATTCATTTGTTTATGATTTTTAAAGTTCTAGCATCTATATCTATCTATATATCTATATATATATATAAAGAGGAGCAACAACGCATTAAATTTTATTCTCCTTCCAAACTTTTCAGCATTCAATTTTACTAGTTTTTGTCCCGTGCATTTGCACGGAAAACTATATGATACATGAAAAAATAATAAAAATTATAAAGAATAGTAAAAATCATAACAAATTCATTGAAAAAAATTAAGAAAAAAATATAAATATTCTTAAACACTTCTTTATAAAACAACGTCGTGGTTTTTCTATCGTCAAAATCTCCCTCAGCTCAAATCAAAATCTTCAAACCCCACTGACTCGTAACTCTAAAAAGCGCCACGTATAATTGCGAATGACTAAATGCAGAGCTCTTCAGTAGTAAGCTGACGTACGACAGAGACTGTCTTTGACTCTTATTGATCATGTCTTCTTTATATTCTTTGTCCTCGACTCTTATTGATTGATAGACATTGTCCTTGCTTCTTAATAAAAAAAATACCATCTAAATATAAATTAGCAAATATAATATTAATTTTTTATATAAACAAAAAATTTAAAGTAATTGATAATGAGTATATAATTACCCTTGCGGATTCAAGTTATTTCAACGATGTTCTTTTTATATATCTAAGATTTAATTTTTTTTCTGATTTATATGAATATAAGCACATTTGACTAATTTTTATAAAATTTATTGAAAAAAGTTACTATTTTTTTGAAAAACTGATAAGATATTAAGATAATACTGTACTTAACATAAATGTGGGATTAATTAAAATAAATCTTTTTAATTTAGTCATTAACTAATTAAATTTAACTATAAAAAACCTTCTTAAATGTGAGATTAATGAGTAATTAATTAAAAAAAATGTAACTCCTTTTGGAGGGAAAATGAAAATATTTTTATTAAATGTTTTATTAAATGGGACTAGCTAGCAATTATATATATATATATAGATTTTTAAGTTACAAAATAACTTACTTGAATGCCATAAATTATGAGCATAAACCATTCAAGGGAGTTACAAAGTTGTACTCAAATTTTAAGTCACACTCACTCATGAAAATGACCGGGTGTATTAGCATAAAGAAAATGGTTGTAACGGCTCTTCCATAACAATTACTTGATCAAAATCATTTTTGAGAATTATTTTCTTAATTCATATTTTTTTTCCATGAATTATGATTTTTTTATATTGTTATCTTTTTAAAGTATCTTGGTTGTGCAAATGCACAGATTGATTACTAGTATAAATAAATGAAGCTTGCCTTCAATTAATATTAATATGAGTTCATTTAATAAAAATAGATTGCATTTAATAAAAAAATTTATGACCTTCATCCAAAAACTATTACAACATATTTGTTTTCTTTTAATTTATTCTATACAATCATCAACCTATTTTTTACTATATTTTGGATTTTGTAACGGTTGCATGCGATTACCATTTTTTATTTCTCTATATTTGGAAAATGTAACTGTTGCATGGTTACGAGATAATGCTAAAACCCTTAAATTTGAATGGTTAAAAATATTTTTTTAATTTGTATGTTGGCTATTCACATGCAAAAGAAGTATTAAGTATTGATATGTTATAGATACAACGCAAAATATATATAAGAAAAGTCATAATTTGTAATAGAGATCTTTACACCAGCTCATTCAAATTCAAATTTTTCATGCATGATTGTACACTACATTAGTTGAATTTAATGAAAAATAATTATCCCTTTTATTTTATATAATAAATATAGTGATGAATTTGAATACTTTTATGATGTTTATTTTTACTAACTGACAAAATTTTTAAAATGTGATATTATTATTTAACTTTCAATTTTACAATTACACAAATACACAGAATTTATAAATTATAATAATTTAAATTTCTGTGCATGTGCACAGGATCAAATACTAGTTATTATTTAAATGCAGGGACACTTATATTTATTGTGTCGTCTGGTTGCCAATATAGGGCATAATATCACCTTATTTGTTAAAATATCAAGAAATATATTTAGTTTGGGGAAATGCTACAATTCGGTTACGGAACTATTCCGTCGGGATTTATAACCGTTAGATCATCATGTAATTGTCGTGAATAGTTGATCAAACAGTTACCAATTCCGACGGAATGGTTCTGTAACGGGACTGTAGAATCTCCCTTAGTTTGGTTGAGATAAGGTTGACAAGGTACAATATTTGTCGAAAAAAAAAATCTCCAATTCCCTAAACCTAGTTTCCGACCCATGGTGCATTTCTGTGCCTCTCCACTGGTGGAACCCCTCTCCACTGGCGGAGCTCCTCTTCTCGGCGAGGTCGGCTCACGGGACGACACCTTGGTTGTCGATGAAAGACTAAGCCGGTTTCCGCGGCCTTCTATGAGTTGATTTCCTCTTCAATTCGATGGCCATGGCGGGGAGGTTGTGATGGCGGGTCTTCTCGTGGAGGCGAACGTCGGCTGCCTTCTTGCAGTGGTCATTGAGACGGAGGCTCTGGTTCTCCCCTGGTTCCTATCTGTACTCTAGTGTTGAGTTAACAAAGACCGCTGACGGGTGCGGCTGTCGACTACGGTTGGTTGGGTTGCAGTCGTTGGGTGTGTGGGGAGGAAAGCTTGGGTGTAGGTCTTCTAGTGCTTGTCTCAGTGGTGACCTTTTTGGAAAGAGTCGAGTATGTTGGTCTGGCTAACTAAGTTAGCCGATAAAGGATTTTCTAGATCTGTGTGTGGGCTGAGGGCTCGGCCTTCTTGAGTGGTTGCCTTATGCGTTGGGTTTGTTTGGGGCATTTTGGAGTGGTCTTACGGCAGGTGGGGAGGTCTTTAATCTAGCTACAATTTTTTTTTTTTCCCTATNAAATGAACTAGCAAACCAAAAAAATCTACAGAAATCACAAAGAGAAATTTTTTCATGATCCAACGAACTAAGAATTAAAAATTGGACATCTCAAGATCTAACCACAAAAAATGTCTTTTTAACAAATTAGTAAAAAAATAAAAACTGAAAAAACCATTCACTCATTCAAGTTTTAGTGAGCCTTTAGTAGGGGTGCAAATGAACCGAGCAGCTCGCGAGTCGCTCGCATGCGCTCGAGTCAAAGCTCGAGTTTGACTGAACTCGAGTAGAGCTCGAGTCTATATTTTGCATTGTCAAGCAACTCGAGACATATGTTGAATTACTAAACAATAGTATAGCATAGGTGCTATGGTAATTTTATTTTTCCACTTTTTGTAGCCCTAGCCTTTATGTAGGACTTAAAGGTTTAGAGGGTTGGATCATTTATGAAGCTCTCTTTGTGTAGAAGTTGGCCAGGGAAGTAATGTTGTATATAGGGATATTCCCAAATAACGAGAAAAAAAATTACTAATTTCCACACTTTGTTCGTGACTTGCAACTTTCTCGACGAGGGAGACTTTCGGTCTATTCCTATGACGGTCCCCCTACACACATGAGTACTCTATTTAACAGTGGTAGGATAATCTTCCAAGTCTTTTTGTGACAAAAAAAAAGGGCAAAGCCATTGATTTAGTTGAGGTCGATAAATAAAGTACGCTCTTGATGGAGGTTTGGGCATAGGACAAGTGCTAATGCGTCTTTTCACGTAACTCGGGTACGAGTGTAGCTATTGTTGCTCTTCCTGTTCTTTTAGTTATTCTATCTATGGCCTGTTTTCTATTGGTAATCAGTAGTTGAAGAGATCCAGGCATACTAATTATGTCATCTCAAAATACGGGAGTTTGGCAAACGATGAGGCCGTTTGATCAGGCTAAAAGACTCTCTTTATCGACCTTTTCTGCAACCCTCATCTAAATGTATGTCCCCATTGTTCCCATTCATTTTGGCCTCCAAAACTAAAGAATGGCCGGTTGAACGAGTTGACGAACAGATACCCAAGTGAACAGAGAACCCCAAGACCCTCTGCCCATCTGGCGGCTGTAGACCCCCTAAAAAACTTTATTAAATTGTTACTAGCGGAATAATCATTCACTTATTGAAGTTTTGACTCACTAATTTATTCTCAATAAAAGTAGATATTTTTTTTCTTCTTGTGTTTGGATTCAAAGATGACTAAATTTTGTTTATTTATTTGTTGGGTCATGTAATCCTTTATCACTGATTTTTTTTTCCTTTTTTGGGTACTAATTTGTTTAAAATTTTGGTGTGTTTGTTTCCATTTTTTCATGATCCAAGGTGAATGAAATAGGTATTATATTGGGAATTATTTTTTTTAAATATAATGTACCATTTTGACAAGAAAAAAAAAAGTCGTGACAAAATTACAAATTTTAAAACCGTGGTGTTGCGAAGTGCATTTTCTTTAAAAAAACCTTTTCTTCACGTGAAAAAGTGACCGGACAGATGACACATCACTTTCTTTTCGTTGGAATCCAACCCTAAGCTTTGTTCTGCAAAAAGTAAATAGACTAGGTATCATTTTGCTATGAACCAAAAGTCATGACAGAATTACAAAAGTAAAAAAGGTAATGATGTGACATACAATTTTGCTCTCCTATGTATTAATGCAATCTCGATCCAATGTCGACTTCTGGTGCTTTTCAATCATATATCAAATTCTGGTGTTTTTCCTATATATTAATGCAGAATGTCTCGATCCTACGTGTAGACTTATGATGCTTCGTAATTCTATATATCATATTCTGGTACTTCATAATCTATTAATGCTATTAGTGCAGAATGTCACGATCCTACATTTCGACTTATAATGTTTTGTAATTCTGTGTGTCGAATTTGGTGATTCGTAATAATCTATGTATATCTACATTCTATCCATATATTTAGGGACTTCTAAAATTATAAAATACATGACTAATTTAAATTATAAATATATTTAAAAGTTAAATTATAAGCATACGCACTTTATATCCATATATAAAGTAGTTTTGGTTGGAGTTAATAGCGTGATATCAGACCATTTAATAACAACTAGTACAGAGCCCGTGCGATGCACGGGGTGCACAATTTTAAGGCTATTTATCCAGGCTTATAATTATATACATGAATAAAGAAAAATGTACGGAATATATATAGTACGTGACCCGTGCAGAAGCACGAGATATATTTATTTAGAGAATATTATATTATAAGATGCAATATTCAATAAAAGTTTATAATACGCAATAAATTGTACAATGTTCAATAAAAGTTTTATAATATTCAAGTGGAGTCTTAAAGTCTCTTGTACATTAAGACTACTGACAAAATAATATTTTAATCAATGAGTTTTCTTTCCTTGTAGCCAAATTGTGAATATGATTTGAGGAGTACAACAAATCGATATATAGCTGACTTGCTTTTTTCATTGTAGTTTTTTTTATAATGAATTTAAAGATATTCTAAAATATAGCAAAAATTAATTTTTTTATTACAATTAGGAATTTTACTAAATATAAACTCTCAATCTATGGTGCTAATCAACGTTTAAGTCTAAAAAATTAAGAATTTTTATCTCTTTTAATCAACGTTTAAGTTTAAAAAATATTAAAGTTATTATAAGCTTTTTTTCTACATCTTTTAAAACATTAAATATGAGCATGTTAGGGCTAGCTTGTAAAATAATTAATATATTATCTCACTAAAACATTTATACTAATAAAAAATTAATTTTAGTATATAAATTTATCCCTTAATATAAGAGAAAGTAACAGTTTTACTTATTGTTGTTCACCATATAATATTTAATTATTATTTTATTATATAATAAAAAAGGAATATTGTTAAATAGTGTAGTAGAATTGTTATAAAATTATATGATTTTTTTTTAACAATATGGATTTAATATTTTTTTATGATTTGATAATATAAACAAATCTATACTTAATGTTGTAGCAAATTTTATTTTATATTTTTCCGAGCACCGAGTTAAAAACTCGTTTCCCGGGTCGATCTCAAGGACTGGTAAATCGAACTATATTATGTGTAATTCAATTTCTTTTATATATATAATAATGCAGAAAATTAATCCAGATTTTTGCTTGATTACAACTAGAAATTTACATAACATTACAAAAACAGAAGAAAGACATTAAATAACAGAAAGTCAACTGGAAAAGCAAAACAGTAAATAACAGAAAGTCAACTGGAAAAGCAAAACAGTAAATAACAGAAATAATTTACAATAGTAGTAATAATAGTAATAATAATATTAATAATAATAGTAATAATAATAATAATAATAATAATAATAATAATAATAATAATAATAATAATAATAATAATAGTAATAATAATAGTAGTAGTAATAATAGTATATAAACAGAAAGTAAATTGCAGAAAGTAAAGTGCAGAAAGTAAAGTGCAGAAAGTAAATTACAGTAATAATAGTAATAATAATACTAATAATAATAATAATAATATTTCTATATATATATATATATGATAAGTAATTGGCAGGGAGTAAAGTGCGTAAAGTAAATAAAGCAATAAAATTACAACAGTAGAAATAAGCAATAACATTGCAGAAAGTAAAGTGCAGAAAGTAAAGTGCAGAAAGTAAATTACAGTAATAATAGTAATAATAATACTAATAATAATAATAATAATATTTCTATATATATATATATGTGATAAGTAATTGGCAGGGAGTAAAGTGCGTAAAGTAAATAAAGCAATAAAATTACAACAGTAGAAATAAGCAATAACATTAAGCAATAATAGTTAATATTTATAACATATATATATATATATATATATATATAAATAAGTATCCACAACTATTATTATTGTAGTAATAATATTCATAATCATTCCTTTAGGAACAATAAGAATAATTACGACTGCAATAACAATAATCGGAATATAAATTTATAACGTCTTAACGGAACGGAATTTACAGAATAACACTCGGATTTTAACTGGATAAACACTCGAATTTTAACTCACAACATAAAATAAAATTACACACACAAGTGTTTCAAGTACCAAATGAAAATAAAAACAAGAACAAGAACATCAAGAACACTAGAAAGTGTTTGTACTAATTCTAATATTTGTATCTAAGAACTCAAGCTAAAACTTCCTTTCCGAACTCTCCCTTAAGACCTCTCACAAATGATGTATTTATACTAGTTCAAGAGGGGACAAAATCACATCAAAATCATCTTAAGATCATTATGCATTAATGGCTAGCATATCTATCAAAAATCAGCCCAAAATCTTCCAAAATCCGCCCAACATCCATGTTTGAAAAGTGGGCGCCGCCCATGTTGAACAAGACTTGGCAGCTTGCGCGGTTTTACGGTTTTGGCTCGTACGGGCTCGTCCGGACTCGGAATTGAGTTCCGTTTTCTCCTACGCGTAGCTAACGAACCCCTCTTCAATTCAATGTCATATACTGGCCATAATTAGTTACAAAAGTTGCCCCAAAGTTATGCTGAAAAGTGGCCGCGGCGCGAGGCTTGGACAGCTTGCGCGGCTTTACGGTTTTTTCTCGTTTGGGATCATTCGGACTCGAAATTTAGTTCCGTTTTCTCCTACGCGTTACTAACGAGCTCTTCTTTCCAGCTATGCTCAAAAGAGCAATTTATCTTGTAACTCAAATCTTCACGGGGATCGATACCAATGCGTCGGAAACGATAACTCTCGAAAATCCAGACTTATTATACCTGAAATTACACCAAAAACCGGAAAACACAAAAACACACAAAAATACACGAAAACACACGAAAAACCACAAAATACACAATAAACACTAGAACAACAAAAATAACCAAAAACAACTAAATGGACCGAAAGACCTTCTAAAAGACCTAAAAATGAGGGAAAATAAATGTAAAATAACAATAAAAAACGTAACAAAAATAATCACAACACTTAACTTTGACAAATAGAACAAATAAATACTTTAGTAAGTATTTAATGTATATACTAAATAAAAATATAATTAGTATAATCAAATACCAAATATAATCAAATAAGTCAAAGTGTACATTTTTATTTGGTATTTGATTTTTTATTATTAAAATCTTTTTATATACTTACCTTTTTAAAATAAAACAAATAAATAAATTAAGTAAATAAATAAAATATTATAATACCAAAATAGTAATGACATTTAATGCAGTTGACTTTTCTGGATAGTAAATGTAGTAAATAGAATATCCTTTTATATAGTATAATACGGAAATAGTAATGTAATAAATGCTGTTGACTTTTTTGACTACTTAATTTGGTAAATAGTACCCCCTTTAATATAAGTATAGAAACCTCTTTATTTTGTTTGGTTGGACTTTGGAGTACCTCTTGCCCATAAAATAACTCCAAGCCCGGTTGTATTTCCTAAAATTGCTATTATATATCCCACCTCTTCCCTTAACTCACAACATTCCCTTATCTTTGGTGGATGGATTTCTTTGAAAAAAATAAATAAATTAAATAAAATAGACAAATATCCTACTTTTAAGAGCAAACGAGGGGAGCACTAACCACAGAGACAATAACAAATGGGCAAATTGGCCGAAACACATATTGTGCCTTCATATATACGAACGGGACCCATTGCACCAACCAAAATATAATAGCGATGAACAAAATCCATTATTTCACTTGATCTCCTCCCTCATTATTCAACGAATTCCCCCCACAATAAATTTTTCTTCCCCTTCAGATCCAATTCAGCCCAATTATTGTTCTCCCCTCAAATTACGCAATCAGATGGCAGTCCTTGTTTATTCCCTTTTCTGTTTGAATGCAATCGAAAATTGATTGTT